CTTCACCGGGCGGAAGGAGAACGTGATGCACCACTTCGGAAACCCTAGATTCGAGATGATCCGACACGACGTCGTTGAGCCCCTTCTTCTCGAAGTTGACCAGATCTACCATCTCGCTTGCCCTGCTTCCCCTGTTCACTACAAGTTCAATCCCGTCAAGACCATCATATCCTCCATCTTTCTTCTTTTTTCATTTCATTTTCTAATTTCTAATTTCTTTTTTCTTTTTGGGATCTGGGTTTTTGCTGTGTTGTTGTTGTTGTTGTTGTTGTTTCTTCTTTGACTCTGAATTTACAAGACCAATGTGGTGGGGACTTTGAATATGTTGGGACTGGCCAAGAGGGTGGGAGCTAGATTTTTGCTCACCAGCACCAGCGAGGTCTATGGAGATCCTCTGCAGCACCCACAAGTTGAGACTTACTGGGGAAACGTCAATCCAATCGGTCCGTATTCTTCTCTTTTCTTTTTCCTCTCTCATTTCTTCATTTTCAAACACCCCCAAAATTGAAAATTTCGAAATGATTTTGAAATTTTCACTCCGGCGCACGTTAGTAGGAAAGCTCCGCTTTGTTCTAGGGTGCGCATGGGTTACCCTAGGCCGTCGTGCCCTGGCCGCCGGCCTTATGTATCGGGAGTTATTGGAAATTCAACTCCGGCGCACGTTAGCGAGAGGCCTAGGCTGAATTCTAACGTGCGACGTCGTACCATATGGGGATTGAATTCCCCTTCGGTCGGTTTCAATTTCTCTCTCATTTCTTCGGTTTTTTCTTAATTTTCAAACCCCAAAATTAAAATTTTTAATTTTTGAAAGAGAATTTTGAAATTTTCATTCCAGCGCACGTTAGCAAGGAAACTGGTCTTTATTCTAGTGTGCGCATGGGTTAACCTTCGCCGTCGTTGTCCGGCGGCCGGCCTATCTATGACTGGAGATATTGAAAATTCATCTCCGGCGTACGTTATCGAGAGTCCTAGGCTGCATTCTAACGTGGGCCGTCATTTATATATAGAGATTACCGCGATTTAAGGGTCCCCCACTAACCACACGCGTACTTTGTTTTTGTTTTACTTTTTTTTTTCTTTTTCACACGAAAATTTATTTCAGAAAAAAGAATTTGGAATTGAAATAACATAAAAAAGAACTCAGAAAAGAAAAATTAGTTATTATATTATATGGACAGGCGGATACTAAAATAGGACTGTCATTAATATTATAGTGTGGCATATTCCGTCACTGCGTCACAGGAAATAAAATCCGGGAAGGGTAGAGTTGGTAATTCGGAGAAGTGTTGAGGGGCATTTCTGTAAACTGCGTGGGTTTTTTAATTTTTTAAAACCGCCGTGTTTGAATCTAGATCTGAAGGACAGTTTGGTAAAATTGACGTGGTTTGGTTGGGTGTTTTGTCGGGATGTGGGACAGGTGTCCGGAGCTGTTACGACGAGGGAAAACGCACGGCGGAGACGTTGACCATGGACTACCACAGAGGAGCCGGCGTTGAGGTAACCATAATTATATTTAATTAATTAATTAATTAATTATAAGTTTCTTATTCAAATAATAATAATTAAAAGTAATTATGTTTCCTTTTGACTTTTACAGGTTAGGATTGCTAGAATTTTCAACACTTATGGCCCAAGAATGTGCATTGATGATGGCCGTGTCGTTAGCAATTTTGTTGCCCAGGTAAATCTTTTTTTTTTTAATAAATAATTTAAGTGACTAATTAAATGGATACAATACTTAATTTTCTTTTAAGAAATGACTAATGAGAGGAGTTTAATGTAATATTTTTGGGGAAAATGCAGGCTTTGAGGAAGGAACCTCTGACTGTATATGGTGATGGGAAGCAAACCAGAAGTTTCCAATATGTTTCTGATCTTGTAAGTATTTTCCCCCTTCATTTCTTTTATGCTTCTAAATTAGATTAATCAATACCTATCACATATTTAATCTCAATGATTCTATATGATTAGTCCAATGACAGCCAAAGGTTTGGGATCTCTTGATCATACTAGTTTAGAGTTCTCAAAGTTTGAACTTTTTGGTGAGTTTAATACCAGAATGTCCCCCAGGTTTAGGCCTTAAGGTAGTAGGGGAGTAAATGTCCGACAACTCTGGTTATAAAAAAAGAAAAAAAATATGGACTAATTGGTCCAATGTTTAAGCTTTTAGGCTACTTTAGATTTGGGTCGTGTTATTTATGAAGCTTTTGGATTCAGTGATAATTTAGCACCCTATTCGACCAGTGTACCTAAGATTTTGGATCGTTTACTGTCGGTATGATATATGACATGTTTTTTTGGGACAGGTGGAGGGATTGATGAGGCTAATGGAGGGGGAGCACATCGGACCCTTCAATCTTGGAAACCCCGGTGAATTCACCATGCTTGAACTTGCCAAGGTACCCTTTTTAATCCCTTGCAAATTCTCAAACTTCTCTCAACGATAACGACGTGGTTGAAAATGGGTCGTTTGTTTGTGTGAGCAGGTTGTGCAGGAAACGATTGACCCAGATGCGAAGATAGAGTACAGGCCGAACACAGAGGACGACCCTCACAAGAGGAAGCCCGACATCACCAAGGCCAAGGATCTTCTCGGGTGGGAACCAAAAGTCTCTCTCCGTAAGGGTCTCCCGCTCATGGTCTCCGACTTTCGACAACGCATCTTCGGCGACCACAAGGACAGCAGCAGCAGCGGGGGAGCGAACACAGCAGCGTAGATCTGGTGGAAGGATTCGTTCGTTTCGAACGCAGAAACCCGAGTTCTTCTTGCGGGGTCATGTTAAAGGTATAATGGTTAAAAGTTAATAGTATAAGGAGGAGGTGGTGCAGAAGCAAAAGGGGAGTGTATGGAAAAATAGGGTAGATTATTTGAGTTTGATCCTTTTAGCCATTTGTTTATGATTTTGGAAAATTGTTATGTGTTGTAAGTTTGATTAGAGGAAAGTGGGGTTGGGTTAATTTGTGGTTTAAGGAAAATTTATGTTCCCATCCCATTCAACAATTACAGATTTCTTAAACAACAAAAATAATAAAAATAAAAATAAAAAAGGATGAAAATTATTGAGCCAAAAAGTTGTTATTGTTACCTACCAAACTCTTACCTGTTTTGTTTGAATTTTTTAGCAACTCCAAAAAGAAATATGGCAATGCTTAAAGTTGTTAAAGTTGTTTGAATTTTATTTTTGTTTTATATATATTTTGAATTCAAAACAAACTTCCCAAGGATTTATTTTTATTGATTTTTTTTTAATCAAAGGCTAGGTTGATTAAGATTTTTTAGTTCACCGATTGCGAGCATCAGAYCAAGAGTTGATGTTAAAAAATAAAAACTTGGGAAAGAAAAAAGAAAATAAAAACTGGACGTTCACATTTTTGTCCAGCTTTGAGCTTGGTCGGCCGCCCATGTTGGGTCCCGATTTCAAAACGGGGAGTAAGATTTATTAGACAAACCCAGGTTTGTTTTACAATTTTATAAACACAAATTTACTTTACTATAGTAAATACTATTACACCTTTCATATTTGCTACACAGTATATAGTAAATACTATTACACCTTTCATATTTGCTACACAGTATTCCCAAATTACTAGGTATATTTTGTTTTTATTCTCTCTTCTAAAATACATTATTTTTCAATTAAATATATTAAATAAATGAGAAAATTAATTAATTATAATTTTAATTATAAATAAGTAAATCAATTTAATTAAAATTACATGTAATAAATAATTATTTATCGATAATTTTTTCTCTATTTTTTTTTCAAATGATTCAAGAAATTTTTTTTGTTTGTTTTTTGTATCTATTTCTAATTTTTTTTTTTCATTTTATATAGTTGTTCATTTTGTTTGTACCATTTTATTTACTCTTTGTTGTCACTGTAAAACAAATGTTATAATTTTGTATAATTATTTATTTTAATTTTATATCAAGTTAACAGTTTTTAAACCAGTATTATTTAAAAAGGTTTACACTTTGTAATAAAATGTAATTGTTAAATAAAAATGAGTGAAATTTAATAGTAAATTATGATAATTAAGTAATCARTTTTTTTAGAATAATTAAGTAATCAATTTTACTTATAGTAAATAGTGAAAAATTAAATGAATTGTTGATAACATTTTTTCTGCGGTAAAATTTATGTTTAATGAATTTGTATACTCTTGCCAAATAAATACTTAAAAATTATTTTCATAGATAATTGAATATTTATTTTAAAAATTAATCATTGGAAAAAAATTGAATGGACAAATGTATTAAAAATCTTTTATATATCCTTGAAATAGTATTTCCCAATTTCATAAAAAAATTAACTTTTTATTTTAATTAAATAATTAGTTTATGAATTATATTTTTTTTAAAGAAAATTAAATCTCAACAAACCGAACACAAGTTTAATAAAGCGAGTTTAACAAAATTAAGYCACTTAACACCAACTAAACATAGACGTAACAAACTCAGACTTAGTAAACCTATTTGTTGCACAAATCAAATACAAACTTAACAAACATAGAGGCGTTTTAAATATTATTTAAAAAAAGAAAAAAAAATTATATATGTATTTTAGTGTCATTTTCTAGAAAAAAATAAGTTAAATAGAAGTTTTTATTCTTTAAAAAATCTTGAGTTTGTAAATATTAATTTAGTAATGTTATAACCTAATTTGATGAGGTTGATTGACTAAGGTGGTTCAAATTTGACCAATGGATAGTAAATAGAAGAAAGACTGATCGAAAAGAGAGAAATCAACTCAATTTTGTAGCACGGTGCCACCAAGGTGACGATGCGTGAGCCGAACCTGTGCTTTGGTTGTGCAGGCAGGCGGCAACGCACTAGCTATGGTCGTTAGATCCAATCAAATATAATAACATTAAATTTTACTAATTATCTCATTACTATTCTCAAAACAAATTTGCGAGGATGTAGTTTTCAAAATTAAGGAAAAAAATGAGTTGTCATATTTAGTGGTGAGGAGGATAAGATTTTTCAACAATGTGGTAAGTATTTTCCATGAAAATAACCATGCAAAAAAATTGTTTTTCTAAAGAGTTCAGGCAGCAAATATATTTTTTATTATACAATAACAAAGGATTTATTTAACGATAATAAAATAAAATGAGTTTAAATCTTATTTTAACCAATAAACCTAAACCACCCCATATGAGACTTGAAAAATAGTTAAAATGATTTTTGAGATCCTAACAAAATTAATTAATTCAGTGATATTTTTATGATTATTTTTCATGGTTCATTTTTTGATATAAGAGTTTCTTTCCACTCAAGATATAGATGGTAGATTTTTCTTCAAGTTATTTTTTTTAGTATAAATAGTGGGTGGGACGTACTCATGATTTTCTTTTTTATTAATTCTAAGAGTTAAATCCTTCTTAACTGTCAAAATATCCAAATTCATTTTTCACTTTGAATTTAAGATTTATCGATAATATATGTTGATGTTATTGATCGTTCTTTGATTTAAGGAATCATCTCATCCCAGTTGAACTGAATTCACAATCAAACTTGAAATTTATTGGATAAACTAATGCACTTTTTTTTCTTCTAAACTTCATAAATCTACGCTATAAATACAAAAGTTCTTGAGGTTAAAACGTCGAACTCACGCTCGCGGATCGAACCAGAATCAAAACTAAAATAAAACAATATATTATAATATAGGTTAGTTAGTAGTTAAAGATTCATTACCAACGGGAGTGATAAAACAGTCGAAGGTTACCTCTAATTTCAGGCTTTATTCCGTCGAACCCCCAAAGATTTTTACACCCAACAGATGGAGACGAAGATGAAAAAGGACAAAAACCAGAGCACCACCAATCAACAATGGCGGCCGGCCCCCTCACCGGCGACACTGAAAACTACATCGCCGATCGGTAAGCCAACCGTCCCTTCAAACCGCAGAGATAACTCCCACGATTGTTACTTCTATGCGGCCCTTTCCGATTGCCAACCGCAATCGAACAATTGAGTCTCTCGACGCCATTTCCATGTGGGCGACTCGATTGAAACCCCACCGAGTTCCCGCCGGCGCGCTTGTCCAGCCAATCTATGATGTCCGAGAAGACAATTTCGATGTTTTCGTCTGGTTCTCCTGATGTGAGGCCATGCCACATTCCCGGGTACAGTTTGATTGTCTTGTCTTTGCTGCTTGCTTTCTCGTATAGTGCTCTGCTTACTTCTGGGTCTGTCACTGTATCGGCTTCTCCGTGTAGTACGTAGAATGGGAGTGTTACCTGGTTGTTTTCAAGTGTCAGTTTCAGAAATTGTAATGCAGTCAAGGTGTTTGAATAACCAAATTTGCGGCCCTTACCTCGTGTAAGGTGTCTTCTAGGCTCATGCTGGCTCTTAGCATCTCGAGGGCTGTTTTAAGCCTTGGCTTGTCTTGGTATATTAACTTGTTGCTCCTTATCTGCATCAATTATTAGCAAGAAATCAATAGAAAGACCCTCAAATGATTTGCTCATGAAAGGCAATGAGAGGAGTAGCCCATATCTGGTATAGACCATTATAAGGTATCATTTCTTTTCAAGGTGGTTAAAGTGCTAAGAACTTTGGATGTTTAAACATATTCTGCAATCTGCACAAGTATGGGGCTTTAAAACTTAATAACTTAAAATGTTTAGGATACAGTTTCAACATCTTAAGTCTAGATTTAGTAAGTTTAAACGTTTAAGAAGCCTGGATTCAGAAAAAATGAATAGGTTTAAGAAGCTCAGCTCAAGTTTAGAAATAATATGTAGGGCGCTAGAATGCTATTGTTCAAGCTTGTGGGTTTCTCGAATTAAAGTAGAGGTTGGCAACTAGATATTACTTGAGGGGCAGGAACAATGCTATGAGAGAGAAATTAATAACTCTTATCGTACTACGAGGGTAGATACATTGTGGCAATTGGATGAAATAATTTTTCTAATTCTACAGTGTTTTCGTGCATTTGATTTACCTCTTCTCGCTTTACGGGGTCCTTGAAGGCTGAATTTATGACATCCTTTGTTGGGACTATTTTCCATTTCGGTATAATTTCTTCTACTCTTGTCAACAGATTCACAACCACAGGGTGCGGCTTTACCTTCTCGGATATCTAATGCTTCACAAAGCAGTTTGATGAGAAGCAGTTCCAAAGTTACAACAGTTCAATAAGACAACAAAGTGATTAAGAGTAAATCAACTAAATTAAAGCTGTTCGTTCATTTACAAACCTTGCACATTGGAGCTACGAGAACAGCACCATTCCAAAATCTGGGATTTTTCTTATGCAAAAGAAGGGCCACTGCCCCACCCATGGACTCTCCATACAAGAACCTGCACTTGTCTCGGTACTCTTCCTGAACTGGTACACACCATTTTACATACTGATCTCAGAAACTTACACAATCAAGTCACAGAATCTCAAGGGTTTCTTTTGAGAGTTTTAATTTTATCTGTACTTCATTTTTGGTGATAATTGTGTTAACTTTTTGATAGGTCCTTAAACTATATATTTGAATTTTCAATTTTTTGACGTTCTAAATTTGAAAGGTCAAAGCATGAAACACAAAATCACTGGGTCCCAAAAATTCTGGGACCCACTAGACACGAAATTAAATGCTCAAGAACTTACAAAAGACATTTTAAAGTACCTATTAGACACAACATTGTAACTTTTGAAACTTACCACACATTTTTTAATGTTTTGTTCTAAGTTGTTTATCCACGCAGACATGAGACATATGCATACCAGAAATGGAAGTGAAGAAGTTGTAACAGTCGGCAACTATGTTTTCAAACTTCTTGATGTAGCAACGAGCTCCACTGGATCGTCCATGGCCTTCGTAGTCCATCCCAAACACTGCGTATCCCGAAGTTGCCAGCCGGTGCCCACATCCTGAACCAACTTTCACATGTTAGAAGGGTAACTTAATTAACTTATAATTAATTTTCCTCCTCTGTTTCCGTTAATATTTTGTGAATTGACATAAATTAAGAGAAGAAAACTTGAAATTTTAACAGTATAATTTTGTGAAACAGAAGCACTAGTATTCAATGAATTTCTGTGTAAATATTAGGAAATCCATGTTATTAGCTTTTTCGAACTTGTCCAAGGAATAAGATAGAGATACGGACAAAAAAAAAGGAAAAACCAAGATCCGATTGTTATTTTCTATAAACTAAACTTATTTAATAAACTATCTTTATTTAATTTTTAATTTTCTATAAATATTATTGAAATTTCAATCAAATTTCAAAATTTTCTGAATATATATTTAAATTTAGTAGGTTCTTGAATCATGAAATCTAATTTAAGGTTGAATCCTAAATTTGGTATTTAAACTTTAACTTATCATAGACTTGTCATGCGTTTTTTAAAATTAAAAACTTATTAAATACCACCATCAAAATTAAACTTGTAATTGAACTTTATTTTAATTCTACCTCCATTACATCTTGCTAAAAGAAGAAAGTATCAGTGAAGAGAAAATAAAAACTGAAAATTGAAAATGAAATTGGTTTCAGGCAAACCCGAATATGAAAGGAAAGCCGATCAACTTTTTGGTGAAAGGTTATGTCAACATCTGAATCGACTTTCTAAGTTAGGAAAACAATTTGGTGAAATGTTGCCTAAAGATGAAACAAAAATCTGGTGAGATGCTGGACACGTGTCTTTGTTTGTTGGCCTTCCAAACCAACCTCATCTTGACACTTCATTTTCATCCCTGAAATTGTTGAAAGTCTTTTTTTTTCTTCTTTTTTTATTTTTAAGAAAAATTAGTCTTGAATTTTGATTCAGATGGCAAGAATCTTTCCATTTGATAACATTTTATTTTTTATTTTCTATTTTTTAAATTAAATTTATAAATACTATTTTCACTATTTATTTGTTTTGTATATACTTTTCAAACATTTTCAAAATCTAACAAAATTTTAAAAATTCAAAAAAAAATTCAAAAACTTATTTTTATTTTTAAAATTTGAATATAAGTTCTAAGAAATGTAAAAACACACCAATAAAATTGTTGACAAATCAATCATAATTTTAAAAACAAAAAACTAGAAACAAAATAGTTACCAAAAAGGGCCCTAGTATTCTAATTTCTTACTTCTTATTTTAAGATTTTAGTTTATTGTTTCTTTTTTTTTTCTTTTTAATTAAAACATAAATATATTCCCTTGTTTTTTTATTAAAAGATAAAAATATATCAACTAATCATTTTTTTCTTGTTTTAAAAAATTTTAAATTAAATGAAACTAGTTTTTTAAGAATAAAAAACTCAAAATAATTTTGTTATATTTATTATGCATTTTATAATTAACAAGAATAATATTTTTGTTTATGTTTTTAAAAATTTGAAAACAAGAAACCAAAAAAGTATATATAATTTTGTTGTTTCTAGAATTTCAAAAATATTTCTCAAAAGTTAGAAAGGAGAAAAATGGAACCATTGCCGTGATATTTTTCACTCTTTTTTTCTCTTAATGTTTCCATGATTGTAATAAAATTTCAATCAATTTTGAAAAAAGAGAGAATGAAGTACACTTTTTTTAGTAACATAAAAATGAAAAAAAAAATGGCACCAAATCCCACGCGACGAGAAAAATTTTCTGGTACTACAAGAGTATCATACTTCCTTACCATATCAATAGTGTATTAAAAATGACATCTGGTACTACAAGAGTAGTATGCTCACTTGCACCCTCAAAGTGTATTAAAGATCCATCCATTTCATTTATTGAGTAATAAGCGGGTCCCCTCATAGTGCTGGAATTTTTCCAGTATAAACACAATCCAAAATTCCCAAATGCTGTCGCAACGGTTGCTTTAAAAACTTAGTCAAAATAATTGGGTCTACTATTTTTATGTCATTGATTCTGCTTTTTAAAAATAAAAATAGAATGTGTTAGGTAATTATTTAAAATTTTGTATTTCAAAAAAAAAAAAAAAGAAGAGAGAGAGAGAGAAACAATTGGTACCAGACCGCTGTTTCGGTAGTTCTTTTAAAGTTAAATAATTTTAGCACAATTTTTTTCAAGCTCGTCAATTTTGTAATAAACCTCTGTTTTTACAGTCAACTGAATGCACATAAAATTTTTTTTTACAATTATTCAAACAGAAGCCTAATAGAATGTCAAACTTACAATGTTCATCCAAAAAAAAAAAATTAGGAAAAAATTTTATTAGCCTTTATCAAATTTAGAAGGTAAAAATGAATTATTCCCAAACAACCATGAAATTACTGTTAGCTCACACTTTGACTCTAATAATTGTGTTGTGGTTCCTATACTTTTTGAATAATTTAATCTTTCTACTTTTACAAATGTAAAGAAGGTGGCCCAAAACCTACTCTCTTGCACTGCAAAAAGAAAAAAGAAAAGAAGGGAAAAAATTGACCTACTCGCCACACAAATTGGAAAATGGATGCATTCATCTAAATAGTAAGATCCATACGTCAATAAATTTTTCTCATTTCTTAAAACAAAAAGTTTCCGGATCAAATATAGAAACTAAAAATACATCTTAATAAATTATTGTCGTAATAAAAAAAATTAAATTACAAATTTAGATACCTAGAACTTATTTCCAATTTGATCTTTAATTTAATAGTTTTAAAAGTTTCACTTTAAGTTCTTATAATTTGGGGCTAATTTCAACACTTCATCCCAATGATTTCAAAATTTCCCACTGGTTGAATTAAACCTTAGGAACTCAAAGATTCACTTAATTTCCTTGATTTTTTTTTTTAATTTCTACTGAAACCTAAACTTAACACAATCCGCCTCTTAGCATACCATTTACATGCCTTTAATATTCGTTAGATTTGAATAATGCATTAAAAAATTGTCCATTCTTTAATCTTGTCTAAATAATTTTTTATATCATTTATTTATTGTATTAGTAAATTAAATGAATATCTATGCTCATCTGGTATCAGAAATTTTTTCGAAGAAGTGAGCGAGTGATTATCCCGTTTTACAAAACTCAGCCACCGGGATTCGAGGGGATTTTGAATGATTTAGGGGAAAAAATTAATAAGAAAAAACGTGAAAAACGGAATGAGGGGGAACAGAGCATTCAAATCGAAATCAAACAACTGAAAACTAAAGAGAGAGAGAGAAAGAAGTAATTATTACCTCTCATGAAACCACTGCACTCCATGCCGTATCCTGCAACCACAAACAAATAACAATAACTCTGAAATTAAATACCGCACCAGCAACACATTACTCTCACTCTTTAGAGAGAGAAAGAAGAATCAAAAGAGAGAGAGAGAGCAACCATGACAGAGGAACACCAACGCCTTCGGAGAAGAAAGCCGCGGCAGCCATCGGCAAGTGAAGATCTGCACTCCTCTTGAATTCCTTATGTACACCTTCCAAATAAGCCATCGTCCGTTATTTCAGATCAGTACCGCTACACATAAGAGGAAGGGGAAGACGATCGAACTCGAAGAAGAAGAAGATTTCGGAGTTCGAGTTTTAGATCGTTGAGTTACCTCTTGATATTCGACCTCCATTTTCGCGTGCGCAGATGAAGAAGAATCAGAATCGGTTGCGATTCATCCAGGTTAACTTCGATTATTCCAGTACGGGTGGCTGCAGAATATTAATTGGACAGTTGCGGTGCTCACAGATTTCGGAAACTTTGCAACAAACGGCAGAGGAACCGGAAACTCAGTAACAGAGAGGAGAGAGAAAGAAGGAGAGAAGAGAGAGAGAGAGAGGGGTTTTGGATGTTATCTTATGAAAGGGGAAAGGATTGGGATGCGTTTTGGGAATCGAAACGATCTTTAAAATGATGATGAGGTGGAGAAGTCCCACATCGAGTGGAGAACAAAGCCATATACATATATATATTTTTATTTTTATTCTAAAGGAATTATATAAAGACAGAAATTCGAACTTATTATATTTTTAATTGAAGACAGATACCTCCGTTCCTTCTTGAGCTATATATATTCTTTGATAATTTAAAAAGTATTCACATAAGTAATTTAAAATAAATATTAATCTATAAAGTAAGTGGAAGGCTTGAAATTTTAAGGTGGGACACGTACACTCTAAAACATATAAATTACATACGGTTAAGAGGAATGGACTTCACAAAAGATAGACTCACTTGAATTTTTAGAAGGTTTTTGAAAGTGTTGTCGTGTTATGCTAGTTCTTGCTATGACATTTGTGTTTCTTAAGTCGCTATGCTTCCGTTGGGTCAGGGTCATCTCATCTTTGATTTGTTCGAGGCCTAAACACGAACACGTGTTTCTAAGCGAATGGTCTACAAGGCAGGCTCTATTCCACCCATAACAATAATATAATTCAAATCAAATTCAAATATACTATTTAAACACAATAAGAAAAGGCTAAACCTATATCATATTTTGGTAAAATAATAATAATAATAATAATAATAATAATAATAAAAAAAAAAAGTTCTAACATTTTTTTACTCTTCATTTATATTGATTTCCACTCGTTGGGCCTTGTCAATTATCGAGATCCACAAGTGACGGAGGGGAGGGTTGAGAATCATAAAGTTAATTTAACATAGTAAATCTACAATTAAACATTAAATTATTAATTACTAAAGCGAACATAGTTCAACGATAATTCAATCATGAGGTTGTGAGTTCGATTCCTGATGGCATAATTTAGAATCTTCAGCTTATAAATCAAACTTCTAAATCATAGTAAGTATGGCAAGTTTAATCAAATTCTACGACGAGTTCCCAGTACTAGTGATGATCTCGAAATTAATGTTGTTTGACTATTTTTTTGCAACTTGGAAGATATATTTTTTGGGCATGAGGTGGATTGTGTCAACATAATTAATTGTTTCATCTAACCAACTATCAACCCTTCGTGATTAAGAACGACATTTATTCAATTTGACCAACATTAAACTTTAACTTTCTAAAAACACCTCATAAGTCTTAGCCAAATTTCTAAACCTATACTATATGGTGAGAAAAAAAAAGTTTATTTCTACTTTCGAATATAAAAATTTCTCTCTCAAGCTATTCTCTCCTCTTTATCCCACACCACTCCCTCCCATTTTTTTTCCCTCTTAATTCCACTTTGTTTTTATTATTTAATCATGTCGAAAGAGTTTAGAATACGTTATGTCTCTTTGTTTTTCTATGAATTAATTTAAAAAATTATAATTTATTTTTTATCATAACTAATAAGGAATTTCAAAAGTTTTGTAATTCCCTGTATTCTACAACTATATAAATAACTTTTTCTTATTTTTTCTTCCAATTTTTTTCTCACTAAGCATTATTTATCCTTCGATATATTTTTCTTCTTTAGTTAGTGTCTTGTCTTTTCTTATCTTTTAGTTCGATTGTTTGATTTAACGTCAAAGTTTTAGTTTTTCTTCCGAGACTTGATTACCAACAATATATAAAGTAATTTATTTAAAATGCTATACTTGTTTTTTTTTACTCTCCGCATCAGTGTCTTTCTCAATAACTCAAATAAGAAATAAAAACAAAGTTTTATTTTATTTTATGCATCGTTATGTTTAAAAAAAAAAGATGAAAAATCCATGAATATGTGTGTTCTTTTTAGAAAAAAAAAGTCAAGTAATCGAAGAATGTGTATGAAGTTTTTTTTTCTTGCTTGTTATATTTTACTTATAAAAAAATTTCAAGTGATCAACCTTTCTCAAATTTTTTTAGCCACATCCAAATTAGCGTGGGTGATGAGAATTATTAAGACGTTGATTTCATGAGATAAACATAAAAAATACGTAAAACTTAGCGAGATAATAACATTTGAGAGATAAAAGAGTCCAATTATATAAAAGAATTTAACTATTTAATTAGTTTTATTTTTATTTTTGTTTTTATGCTTCATTAACACGAGATTTAATATCCTACGAGATACCTTGTCAATCAAATGTAATAAGGTCAGGCAGTTGGTCCGTGATTAGTCGGGGTGCGTAAGTTGACCCGGACATACGAAAATAAAAAAAAATAAAAAGAGAAACGTGAGACTTGAGAGAGAGATTTCCTACGGTTTCAAAAACACATGCATTGGTTACTCTAAAATGGTAAGTACTAAAAAAAATAGAGAGAGAGTTGATTTAGATTATATCTTATTTTAAAAAAAAAACTCCTTTAAATGATTGGTCCCTGTACTCTTTGAGTGTTCAAATCTAGCAATACATGTTGAGATAATAGTTAAATTATGCCAAAAATTAACTAAAACCATTTATCTTGACTCGTGTTCCCACGTGAGGGCGATAATTCGAACTCTGATACAAGACATATGTATCGATCGAGCTTTGTTCAAGTTGAGTAACAAAAAATAAAATTAAAACAAACTAGGTTAAATTATGAACTTTCAAGATTCTCCTTTAGATCCCTGACCCTTAATTTTTAATTTTGTGTCTAATAAGTCCTTAAACGTTCAATTTTATATCTAATAATAGGTCTCTTAAATTTTGTGTCTAGAAGGTCCCTAACATTTTATAAAAAATTTTAAAATTTACGAATTTGTAAAGTTTGTCTAATAACCCTATGAATTTTAAAATATGCTTAATAGGTTAGGGATCCTTTTATAAAACTAATTAGTATCACGTGCATTGCGCGTGGTTATAAATATTTTAATATAATATTTCTAACAATTTAACATATATAATAACAACTCAACGGAACTTTTAAATGTACTAATATTTTGTTTCAAATAAAATATATTTAATATAATATTTCTACCAATTTAACACATAGAATAACAACCCAACGAAACTTTTAAATGATATTAATATTTTGTTTCAAATAAAATATATTATTATTTGTTAGACATTTTCAATAAAAGAAAAAGTACAGTCTTCCAACTAAATCAATAAAATAAGAGGCATACAAAACATTGAATATACTATAAAATTGAAATAATTAATGTGGTTATCAATTTTTGATTATCAAGTCTATTGTTAATTGAGACATAATAAATTAAATCAAATTATGTAACTAAAACTTCGAAACAATAGTGAAATAATTTGTTAGATTGTCAAAATTATAATTAAATATTAAATGATCGGAACAAATAAAATTACTTATTTTTACTCTTAAGCTCCTTTCTAAAATTGAAAAATCAAATATATTTTTTCTATTTTTAAAAGGATAAGTATAAATTATACTACACCATTTAAATATAATAATAATTAAAAAAATACAATCTATACCTATTGGCACAATTATTAACCACTTTCTTAATCTAAATATGGATACAATTTGATGGTATAATTGAATATATTAAGGTAATATTATGTAGTTAAAAGAGATAATGTTTTGATATTAAAAAACTAAAAGTAAAATAGACACAATACAAAAATGGGAGTTTATGACGTAAATATAAATTAAACCAAAATAGTAAATAAGAAAAAAAAATATAATCTTATCTAACTATATTAATGAGATCTAACCATATTAACGAGGATCTGTCTCTTTCATCTTAAATTTATTAATTATTAGTTTTAATAATTATTTTTTTTAGATATTTTTAAAGTAAGAACTTTATATTGCTCTCTCCTGAACTCTTGTCCAGTGCCCACAATGATTCATTACTATCTGTGCAAACATAATTTTAATACAAAATTCATTTGAACCGGACAATTCTTATTCATTGTCAATTTTTTTAAAAAGAATACAACAATAATCTTTTTGTGTGTTTTCTTAAATTATTTACTCATTCTTTTATCTTTTGTATATTATGTAATAAGAAAGAATGAACCAAATTAAAGAATTGAAAATTTGAGAAATAAATTGAATACTATGTAGTACCATGAAATCATTTAAAAAATGTGGGATAAAGAAACACATGACCAAGAAAAATAAAATAAGAACAACAGCAATCAAAAAGTCATATAAGATAAATAAGAAAACTAATAATAAAATATAAATCAAACCTAAAACAACATTAACTAAATATTAAATCAAACTTTCGAGTTTGGAGTCAAAGCAGCATGGATACGAGACGAGGGAAGTTYAGTTTGGAATCATTGTGGTTTTCTATCTTCAGATTACCAAATTGGAGAATCACCAAGGCCTTTCAGCGATTCGACGCGCCCCCCGAAGCTAGACGCTTCACCTACCTGACTTCAGAGAGAATAGAATGAGTCGCCCTAGCCCTAGTCTTACTAAGAGCTTGAATTGCTCTGTAGTCTCGTAGGGCGAATGAATTGCATTAGTGCGATTTGGCTAGYTGAATCGCCCAGCGAACAAATCACCTCCTTGCTATCTTCGAAAATAACATTAACTAAATATTAAAACACGAAGGTATCATGAATATATAACTTAAAAGTAATTTTAAAAAAAATAAAAGTTGAAGATATACGAATACATAATTTTATTACTCTACCTCTTAATCGATTAAATATATTTCTGGATTCTCAAATATTCTTTTGACATGGTTCAGTTTTCACTCATGAAGATAAGAAAAATCTTTATTAATATTTTGGAAATGAGTTTTAGGTCATAGAAGAAAAAGACATAATCTTTCATTTTATAGATTATTTGTTATGGCACCTATACGTGGATAGATGCATCTTTTCATCAAACAGTTACTTTTCATCGGATTAACTTCTCTCAACACACCTTTTCACTCGAACAGTTACAACTCTTTTGGATTAAACTTCTTGTTTCATCGAATGGTCACAACTTTTTTAGATTTGTTATCTCAACAGACACTTTAACTCGAACAATCGTGTCTCTCGTAGAAATTTGAAAGGCAAAATATGTATGTATTTAAAAGTTGGGAGCAAAATGAG